CCCCCCGCTCAACCCTAAATTGAGCTTTAGTGTGAGTTTGGGTCATGTTTGTTATAATTTCCCCTTCAAGTGTGTTTTGATTGTAACCGCTATTTTCTTTCAGTAATAATACTTATTTTTCCTATTGCGGTTTGGATTGACTCCAGAATCATTTGGTATCAGAGCTACTCTAACCCTAGTCATATTTTAGGGTTTTTGACACTCTCCAAAAAATCTTTCCTTTCCCTCCACCCTAAACACCACCTTCCACCTACCTACACCCGAAACCCTAACCACGCCCCTAAGGGGACAATTGACTAAATCTTATCAAGATTTTATCATGAGTGAAAGACAACGGCTACTCTGTCAAGTGCTTTATTGGCTCGATTTCATTGAGAAAAGAACCCAGGACGGGATCACCATCAACCAAAATAGTTAAATACATGAAGGAGAGCAAAAGGAACACCTAAATCTTCCAGTGAAGAAGACATACCACAATGCTTTGGGGTACAATATTAGTGAAGGCCTAGAGTTGAAGTGTCTATTAGAAAATACAGAGATGAGGTATCTGCTGGAGGCTTCAGAGATAAGGTGTTTGTTAAAGGAGGCATTCTTCTTCAAGTTTCACTCTTTAGTCATCAGCCACCTCGTTGTATTCAAAGATCCGCTCAACAATATGCATCCACTTAAGGAAATCATCTGGATCCATTCTTCCTTCAAAGTCTGGTAAGTCCACCTTCACTCTCAGATTTTTGTATCCTCTAATAGGCACATCATCTCTGTAACGGGAGATGATGAAATGGGAGATGCAGCGGCAGGAGCTATTAGTAGACTACAAGGCAAAATTTATGTAACTTAGGTTGAAATGTGAGTTGAAGGAGACAGAAAAGCACATCATAGCCAGGTATTTGGGAGGATTGAAGTCTACCATCAATAGTGTGGTTCAGCTACAACCCTATTTGACACAAAGGGACGCGCAAACTTTAGCACTAAATGTGGAAAGACAATAGAAGCAAAGTAATAATCACCGCCAGTCAGACAGTCACCCACAATCCGAGTCTTTAGGAGTACCACGCCTTGGGAGTGGAGCAGACTGGTCAGAAGCACGACAGGCCACTCCGAGTGAAAAGATGTTTGAGAAGAATAGCACGCCCACTATAATCCCACCCAGGAAATGTTTTAGGTGTCATGCTTTTAGACATCACATCCAATTGGTCGATGAGCTCAACTGTGACTTTCACCGAGCAGGAGGCTGTGGGGGAAGTTAACAACGAGGAAGCAACAGTAGAAAAGGGCAAGGAGTATCAGCTTCCATCAGATGAGAGCGAGGTGTTTGTGGTTCGACGAGTCTTTCAAATTGAGACACGGAGGGAGCAACATTGACTTCGTCATAATATATTCTACACTCGTTGCACCGTGAAAGAAAATGAATGCAACATCATCATTGATGGAGGTAGCAGCAAGAGTTCAGGGTCAGCACTGATAGTAGACCAGTTGAGTATCACCACTCAAAGACATCCCCAATCATATTTCCAGAAATTATTGAAGAAGAGTAGCAAGATCATCATTGACAGGAGGTGTCTCGTGGAGTTTTTGATTGAGAGAGAGCTGCAGGATCAGGTTTGGTGTGATGTGGTGCCCGTGGATGTTTGGCACCTTTTGCTGAGGAAAGCATGGCAATATGATCGTAAGACTCAACATGAGGGGTACAGAAACACCTACTCATTCACCAAAGATGTCAAGTGCATAGTTTTTCTACCTTCTATGGAGTCTGAGATTATAGGTGCCCTAGCCAGTAGAGAAGCATCGGGAGGATCGGTCCTAATGATGACAGAAGACTGGGAGAAAGAAGAGACGGTAGCAAACAGATGACAACCAGTACAAAGAGAGTTTCAGGACATCTTGTTCGCTAGCTTACCACCTTGGCTGCCACCATTCAAGGAGATTCAGATTGTTCTTAACTCGAATAGAGTTGAACCAACCTTAGGTTGCTTTTGGAGAAGTATATATGTGACACACAAACTTAGTTCAGTCCAGTTATGAGCTCCCACAAGATTGGACCTACACGGATTGTTGCTCACAAATGGCGACAGCTCCTCGAGTGTTTTGGGAGACAGTGCAATCGTCGGTGGGATCCGGAAGCATCTAGGGCAGCAATTGAAGAGATTTCAGCAACAAGAGGCTGCAAAGCTTCATCACCAGCAATAGACTGATAGAAACTTCGACGAATGAGGTCGAAGCTCCCCAAATCCAGGAAGACTTATGTATATCGCCCTGTGTTGGATGTGGATGCAAGCCGCGTGAGACAGAGAAACGAGCTAATCAATCCTAATTTCTTTTTTTTCTTAGCTTTATTTCCTAGTATCATTCATTCATTTTTAGTCATTTTTTATGTGTGTTGTATTAGAGTTTGGAAGTCAATTTATTGTGTGTTTTATTTAAAACAGTTGTTAGCGTCCATCTTTCTCCTACCGAGGGATGTTTCTGAGGGATTGGGAGGTTCTCTGACTGTATCAATCACCTGATGTGGTGAATATCTTTCCTATCCACTTCCGCATCTTCCCCACGACTCTCCCGGCCACCCCTCCACCGCTGCAGCCGCCTTTAAACAGCACTCGTTTGCTGCTTTCATTGCATTTTTCCAATTCCAGCCCTTTTTGCTCGCTACCACTGTCCTGGACACCCCTTGCTGTCCTCCATTCCACAGTGCTTCCGCTACGTTGTACCTCCCTATCCCAGCCCTTCGCTTCGCTGCCAAGGCAATTCCAGACCCTCTTTTTGCTGTCCCAACCACCCACAACCCATTTCAGCCACCTATCTCTGCCCTCCAACCACCTAGCCAATCCCCACCACCCATGGATCAAACCCTTGTGTGAGTTTGTGTTGTGTTTGTTGTAATTTTTCTTTCAAGTGTGTTTGACCTATTTGCTTTCAGCAATAATATTTATTTTTCCTATTATGATTTAGGTTAACTCTGGTATCAAGTGGTATGTATGAAATCTTCCTTTCAGATAATAAATTTGATCAGCTTTATGATGAACTGGCCTTCTCACAAATATTCAAATTTCTAGCTAATAGAAATATGTTAGGAATCATGTGAAGGCAAGTTATAGGTTGATTTCTATTATGATAGGAAGTACAAAAACATAAGTACCTCATGCATAAATAATATTGACTGGGCTGAGCATTTTTGGCCGCTACAAGCATAGGCATCCTGATCGCATACCCACGCAACATAATCAACCTATAAGAAGGGTGAGACAATAATTAGGACAAGAGCAAATAGTTTCTAAAAAAAGGACAAAAAGAAAAGTGGCATTTACTTACATAGCACACAATTCTTGTGTATTTGCATATCTCACGGATAAACTTTTATATTTACACAAATAGCACTCAAATACTTACTATTAAAAGTGGAATATGCCATTTTCACCAAAGTGCTATGTATGTAAATATGAAAGTTGAGTTGTGAGATATGTAAGTACATAAGAACAGTGTGCTACGTATGTAAATTTCCCAAAAGAAAAAAGTTAACTCCAGAAACAGAATTGATTGCTTGAGAAGACCTCTTGCACGTCTGGACCAAGAATTTTCCAATCAAACCCTGCATCTTCCAATTTTACGCGCCCTCTCAGATCACCAGCTAACTTCTCTGCAACCCGTGAGCTCCCAGTAAATAGAGTCATACGTGGTTTAGCCTAACAAAAGAGAAGAAAAATGCAGGAAAAATTATTTCATATGGACACCGTATGTAGAGATGCATGCGGTGTCCGATCTCCACCGTCGATCACCACAAAGATGTATTTCAATGTGCCCCACTTTTATTTTATTTTTTTTTAAATTTGATAGATCGGACACCGCATGCATCTCTGCATGCGGTGTCCGTATGGAATAATTTCTCAAAATGCAGAGGGCAAATCCATAATTAATATAGACAAGAAAATGTTCTATCCAATATAGAAAACTTACGCTTTAACATTTAAAGAGAACATTTGCTAACAAACTTAAAAAATTAGATGCTAGACTTCACGTTTCCATCTACTTTCTAGAAGCTCGCGTTCTTCAAAGTTTAGGTTAATTGAAAATGTTAAAAAAAAAAGGCAAAAAAAGAACCGGTAGTGGCTCCATGATTTCATAAGATGATACATATTAGGAAGTTGATGAAAAAATTCATACTGCTATTTGTTAAACCCAAAGTATGAAAAAGAAAGATATAGAAATATTGAAACCTGAGTAAACCCAAACCACAATGGGAAAAATCTTATCATTGAAAGCAAATAGACAGTTGCAACCAACACACTTGAAAGGAAAAACAACAACAAACAAGACGCTTGATACGTTGAAATAGGAAATAACAACAACATAGCACACAGCTAGAATCTCAGGATGGTGGTGAGGATTAACGAGGGTTTGGAAGGTATTGTGATGGTGGATGAGGTGGTTGGAAAGAAAAAACAAAGCAAGGGAATGGTTTTGGGGTCCGGACAGCAGGTACACACAGATATTGAGATGCCACGGCTGTTTGAGATGATGGCAGCAAAGGGAGGGGGCTGGAACAACAGCGGCAACAAAGATGTAGGCTGGATAAGCGATGACAGTGGGTATGGAGGGCTGGAACAGCAGTGGCAGCAACTGGGAAGGGCTGGAACAGTAATGGCACCGAGGCTAGAGGGCTGGAACGGTGATGAGGAAATTGAACTGTCGGACAGCCAAAGGAGGCCTGTCCTGAGTGGGGGAAGCAAGGAGAATGGCTGGACAACGAGTAAACTGCAGAAAAAACAGCAAAATGTTGTCATTGATGCAGCCTGCAGTGAGGAGTGTAGGGCAGTGAAGCGGGAGGGATGTGGAGGAATTGGAAAAGGATAAACACCACCTACTAGAGATGAAGATATAGCTAAAGGATATAGCTAAAGCACCACCTAGAGATGAAGATATAGCTAAAGCACCACCTAGAATCCTAAGATATATCCCTCGAAAGGAAAAAGAGACAGCAGCGGATGTCCCGATAAAAAACACGCAAAAAACTAACCCTAGACTCATACGAAAACAAATATAGAATAAAAGTATAACTAGGAGTGGCCCACGAGGACCGACCGACTACTCAGAAGGGAAAGAATCTGGACCGGTTCGGTCCAGGCAAAGCAGCTAGCCACTGCTTACACCAGAATTATTGTGTGGGACGTGATCTCACTTCACACGTGCGGGTCCCGATCCTGCTTCACTCCCAAGTCGGTGCAGGCGGCGTCCCACATCAAATATGGTCATGAAATATGCTAGATCAGGTTGCAAAGCTGTGGAGAAATTGAACTTTTTATGCGCTTAATGAGTAAGAACAATCATGATCTCTCTAATGAGTAAAGGGTAAAATAGTGCCCTGGCTATTTATATCGGGTCATTTTAGTCCCAGAATTTATAAAAGTGTAAAATTAACGCCCAAACTCTTTAAATTGAGGAGCTCATATTAAAAGAATTTGGAGAGTAGATTAATATTTGTATAGACTTTGAGCTTAAAATATGAAGTCAAAGGATTATTTTGACACTCTCTCTATAGAAAAAAGAGAATAGATTAGTTACTTTCTTATAAACTAGAGACTACAAGAAGCACAAGATGTATCTCTGAAGGTTGGGTGCCTAGTGCATTGAGCTCTTGCGAATGTAGAGTATGGGTAGGTGCTATATGTAAACAACCTTACCCCTATATTTGCAGAAAAGAAATTTCCACGACTCAATCCTATAAGCTCCATAATACACTAGAGGCACCAAACCACTGCATCATGTTGGACCTTGAGCAATAACTAGTAAATAAATGGAAGATTTGCATACATACCACTCAATTCCTTTGTATTTACATATCTAACACCTAAACTGCAACTTTCACTGTGGGATTCAAAAAATTGCACCCCAGACTCTCATGTTGTCTGTTGAAAGCTTTCATGTTTGTTATTTCGGGACAAATTTTTAGAAGAAAGATTGAATTGTAAATAAGACCATCAAAAGATTTTGCCTCACTCTGTGAGGACATTTTGATCTAGGGTTCGAGGTTTCCAATAGATGCAAGCCTCAGGGGTTAATTATCCTTTCTGATAATAAGAGAGCACTTTCGATTAAGGCCGGTCATTTAGCACTGAATATTCAGCATATAGTAGCGGCATACTTAAGAGTTTTAGATTGTTAAATTCATTACATTGATCTTAAAATAAATGATGGGGGAAATGATGATGAACCCGAGTAAGATTTTATGATTGCGTCGTCCCGGGTCATTGAGGTTCCTAATTAGTTTAGTCAGCGGATGTAGTTGACCCAATCTAATCGAAAAATCCTTGTCAACAACCATGAATTGCGTTGTCAATAGACCCTTGTAGATTTAGGGTAAATGTCTGCTTAAAATGTATGAATGCAAGTGGATGTCTTTACCATACATATGATGTCATGTTATACTATGATATATTACAGATATTCATTTATGATTCATACCTGTTATGCTATACTATGATACAGTGCAGACATTCCTTTTTTATTCATATATGTATATGAAATATCCATGAATGTATGCTAAAGGTATTATGCTATAAGGAATGTCATGAGTAATGTATGGGTAAACTATTACATTCAGGGGTGTATTCGTGACTCCTAATATTTATATGTGGACGAAGCTCTGGGAACAGTTGGGATTAGACAATAGAACATTAAGAAAGCGTGGGTATTAGGGGGGGCTGTCGCTAACTGTTATGTTGGGGGAAGCCCGACCTTTATCGATGATTTATATGGCATTTGGGGCAAGGTGACGACCCATTGTAACAGAACATGAAAATAGTTGAACCATATAAATTAAACAAGTGATATTACTATGATATAACCTCTATGAAATGAATAAACATGTTTTTTATTGTGCTTATGATTTCATGCATATGACCTTGTTGACCTCATTTTTAGTGAGGTCTAGTCTTCCTCTTAGGGTTTAGGATCTAGCCTCAGAGATCTCCCTTCGACTATCTTAGAACCTTAGAAATGGGACCCGCTTTGTTCTAGAAATTCAACCCGCTTCTGTACTCTTTTGTGGTTCCAAGTGTGTGGTATCGACTTCTAGCATTTACCCGTCGAAGACTCGAATAAACTTTTTGAAACGATGGATCGCGGGTCGAAATTTTGTGAAATTTGAATTTTGACGTGTTTTTGACCCGATTGTCGACGACGTCGTCCGAGCGACCCCGGATGACAAAATAGACCGTGCCGGCGCGTCCAGGACGTCAATTTTGCCTAGAGGAGGCACTCATTTTGCCTAAAGGGCCAGGCGCACGAGTAAGTCGAATTATATATATATATATATATATATTAATTTATATTAAACTATTTTTACCCCTTTCCTCTTTAGCCCTAACTCCCTATTCTCCGCGTCTGAGCTCCGCCCCCCTTCCTTCTCCCGTTCGCGTGTCTAGCCCTTTCCCTTTCTCGTTCTCGAGCCGACCGAACTCTTCTTCCTCCGCGCGAGAGAGGGTTGACCTCGTTCGTCCTTGCCTGACATGATACTGCTCGCGGCCCTCCCCGAAGTCGTTTCCGTCCCTCTGAGCTGTGGTTTTCCTTTTCTTGGTAGCTTGACTCTGGGAGGCTTGTTCCCTGGTACACTTGAACGACATTTTTTTCTTTTCTTCCCGATGCTTCCCTCGCTGCCACTACTCTCGCCGCTCGGTCCGAAAGACTTTGGTGGTTTCGCCTTCTGTGAGCAGAGAGCGTGTCCTTTTCTTCTTTGGCCTGATTCGAGTGTCGTGGACTGTTGGGGGTGGTCTCTTTTCTCTTCTCCTCTACTCTCTGTCTATGAACATAGTTCCTTTTGAAATTTTAAGGGTTGTTGGAAAAGTTTTCTAAAAGGAGAGTAGAAATTTTGGCTGTGAGGAGTTTGGGAAGAGAATTTCTGTGAGAGCGTTTCTTTGAAGCGAATTCTTGTGTTGCGGTGCTTTTATATTGGCGTTAAGGAGGTACCATTCTTCCCCCCTCTTCTTCGATGCTCTGTTTCTTTTCGGTTTTCCTCTCTGTCGAGTCTTTGAACTTGGCTCTGTTGGATGATACGACATGCTAGTTCACTTTACTTTCATACATTTTTGAGGTA